CCCCCCCCCCCCCCCCCCCCCCCCCGAACACCTCGGAACACCCAAACCCTGGAATAGGAATCAAAATAATTGAATTTTACAAGTGATACTCCTCCAACACTGTGGACATCAAATTGGGTAGAGGATATTTACATGAACCATCCGCTTAGGTCAAATCTGACTCTTCCTTTAGTTGCCTTTTTTTCCTCCACTTCATTCAATGAGGGACCTGTAAGTTATCTTTTTAGATTCATTGATGATATTTTAGGGGTTTTTTGGTTTTGTATTTTTTTCGGCTAATTTTTCCAATTAAGGGTGTTCCAGAAGGGGGTATGGCCCGTTAGGGAGTGTTCCGGGGTATTCTGCGGTATCCTGAGGGTGTTCCGGGGGTGTTGCGAGGTGTTCCGGGCCTGTTCCTGGTTTTACAGACACCCTGATATCTTCATACGTGAAGATAACGTGTTATTTTAAAAATAAAAAGATCAACGTTGTTATGGTTACATAATAAATCGCGCCTTTCGCAACGGCGCCTTCAAAGTAATCAAGAGGCAACTTAAGAATGGCGGACGAATTACCTAACTGGAATCTTAATATTCTCGATCCGATGGACGATGACTCTTTATTTTTGTGTCAAAGGATGATGTTGACGGGCTTATTGCTCAAAAAGAAAACAAAAATACGAAGGAGAAAAAATGTATGACCTCAACATTGTTCTAAAATTTCTTCGCGAAGTTCGGAAAGAAGGGAGACCCATCGCAGGAGCTGAATGTATAGAGCGGTTTCTCATGACATCACGGCAGCCATGTTGGTGTTGTAAACCATTCCTGTGGGTTGAACTCTTTTCTTATGTAATCGCTTTCTTTTGCTCCAATAAATTTGCATAGATGCTAGCCACGTGAATGAAAACGCTCTGTACCTTAGTGAATTCATTACTGCAGCTAGAACGAAGGGAGAACAATTGTTGTTTTGGAGACTGACAGTCAAGGCAGGGACTATATTGTTAATTCAGAGAGACAAACTAAGAGCAGACAGGTTGAAAACTCACGGAATGTTAGGCCTGTGAAACCGAGAATGTATGAAAACAAAGAAATTCAAGAGGAGCGAAATCCAGGGAATGTGTATAAACCATACCGAGAAAAACACCCAAGGTCCATGATCTAACGGTCAACCACTGCAAATCCTCTGTTCAGGGGCAGTGCTTTAAAGCACAGCTATGGGAGTAAATGGACTGAAAAGTATCCTAAATAAAAGACATGTGCGAAGCAGGGGGGATTCCTAAAGAAACAAACCATACCTGGAGAAAAACACTTAGCAAAAGTTCCAGGGTAATAACGCTCCGCAGTCAATAAACAACGAAAGCAGCCTATGAGAGTGACAGGTGGAAAACATTTCAAACATTCTGCCAAGCACGGCGTCGACAAATCCTGAAGTTTCAGATGTTTCGCGAAGTGCGTTTCACTTTCCGGTCGGCGCACCACTTTTCATCACTATCAGATTGCAGCAAGCTCATCGACCTCGTCAGTCCATGAAAACCTGCCGCAAACGATGTTTTATGGCAATACAATTACAGAAGGGTTGTCCACATCAATAAGGCCTCGTCACAAAGTGCAGTGGGTAGCCCCGAATCTGAACCTCCAAAGAAAAAGTTTCGCGGTATAATTTGCATCAAGAGAGGATAAAGCGGCTAAGAGAATTAATCCCTCACATAGGCCTCCTATCCATCTTAATCCCTCTAAGTATATTTTTAGATCTTCTCTGAGGTCTGTTATTCCCAAGAGGGTTAAGTGATAGCCAATCATATGTCGGTAATTTTATACCAATGTTGACAGGTGAGCAAAGGCCCACGCAATGCTTCGCGACGTTCGCGAATAAACTGTTATGTTGGCGGAAGACGTAGGTTAGGTTAAGAACACTGCAGCCATAGGAAAACCAGTCGCATGTATAAGTTTTTGGACGAATGCGGTTGCAGGGAAGCGAGTGTAAGAAAAAGTACAGTCGCATAGACTGTAAAGCTAAACCACAGGGCATCGCGCTCAGGTCAAGGACTCTCTTGAATCAAGAAAAACAAAATTGACTGTATCAGCACCTGAAGAATGTTCTTGGTGTATCTTCGGTCCTGCAAACAGTGAAGAGCGTCTAGCGTCTTGCGTCAGAACATACTAGTAGCAGGAAATCATCATCACCTCTACGGACCAAAACCTACTCGCAAGTAGCTATTCAGGACTATTCAGATACATAAATTTTGGGAAAACCAAAGAAACTAAAATCACTACTGAAAGGTTATTTTAATAAAGCTGAAAAAACTAGCTTACGATTATTTAAAATAATTCGAAACTTGCCTATTAGGGAAACCAGAAGTCAGTGTGACAACAGACACCATAGAACCTCATAGAGACTTCATATAAATGGTACTGATATGTAAATAATAATAATCAATTATTGAACGAGTCTGGGCAGCATTTTGTTTTTTTGTTGTTAACACGATCTGCGGAAATTTCTAGACCTCTAACTTAAATGTTGTGTTTTTCAACAATAAGATACACACCAAGTAGTTCACTTTGTCCCGTAAACAATCAACTGTATAATGTCATTTTTCCTTTTTTTCTCCTCGCGGCCTCTGATTCAGTGCAATAATGAATTTAAATAATTCGAAACTTGCCTATTGGGGAAACCAGAAGTCAGCGTGACACCTTAGAGAACTCGTATATGTGGCGTGTTTTCCACCACTAAGATCAAGTTCTATACCAAGAAACCCATTTTGTCCCCCAAAGAATCAACAAACTGCATAAACGGTAACCAAAACGATGCATGAATACAATTAAGACTAGGCAGCTTTTTGTTGCTCTTTGAAATTGAACTTAAAATATTTAAAACTTTCAGTCAGAGAAAAAAATGTGTTTTGCCTTCCTCGCTCCTTATAATATAAAAATCGCTTAAAAAGAAAACAAGGTTATAACCCATTCAGTGGACACCAAACTAAACACTTTAAATTGGTCTAAGCGGGCAATGATTTAAAGTAACCATTACAAATGTATTAAAGAGAAAAATTTCAAAAATCTTTCTTTCATCTTGGTGAAGAATCAGCCTATATTCACGAAAGAAATCTTGGACTGTCCTGTCCCTGGCCCTCAATATATGTCAGAAAAAAATATTTATCCCTTTCCTACACAAGTCAATAACTGATACAGTTGACACGTACACTCGCTTTATTTTTCAGAACAGGCGAATCTGTCAACTCGCTTACAAACATTTCTCTTTTTGTCAGCCATTATTTCTAGTGTATATTTTTCAGATTACTCAAGAAATAACAAATAATCTCTACAAATCTTGCTCCCATCATAGTATCCATAATTGTGTACTTTTATACATTTAATAGCGAAATAACCCTTGACAAAACAAAAAATGAAACTCCTCTCCAACTAATCATGTAGTTTTTGCCTTTTTATGTCAGAATTGTATTTCTTCTTTCCTATCCAAGTAAATGATAAGTCAACTACTTACCTCTAGCTACGTTTGTCGCGTCTGACCCGCTAGCAAACCTTTAACGGCTGTTTGCTCTGGAAGATAGAATCAAAAAGTCCCGTGTATGAATACAGAGCTATTTCGTTGAAATTTGTAACAGGGACAATTACACAGTCACTCACATCGCTCCGCAGAAAAGAAAAGCTACATAAATGTAACTGAAGCTAAAGACAAAACATGTCGCTTGTTGTCGCTCAACCTGTGAAGCAGAACTTAAAAGATCTCGACGAATATGCCGACAAAATAGTAAAAGAAAGACAAAAGATGAAATTGTCGCTTAACCTGTAAAATGAATGAACTTAAAAGATTCAAAACTTTGAGTCAGAGTATGATGACCGACAACTGCCATTAGTCAAAAAGGCATATAAATTTGTTAATTTTAGATTGAACTTTAGTTATTTTGCATTGAAAATAAAGCGAAAGTAAAACGTGAAATTATTTTGTTTCGCATTGAACTGGAAATAGATTCATTTTGTTAATTTTCAAAACAAAACAAAACATTTTTATTTATGAAATGAAAATAAAAATAAAAATGAAATAAAAGCAGAGGTAAAAGTAATTTGTTCACGGCCGGGAACTGCCATTCAAAACAGAAAAAGTAAAATTAATATGTTCATGGCTAGGAACTGCCGTTCAAAACAAAAAAAAAGAAACCTGAGACTTTTGGCGGGAGACAATAGTCTTCCTGCAGCCGCTCGGGCCGGGGTCACGCAATGCTCCCCGCCCCTATGCGCTTCAAACTGTCATACATTCCTTTCCCATTGTTTTGCGGTTTAGTCTGCTCGGACCAATGAGCGCCTCGTTTAGTTAAATGTGGACAGGCTAAAATCGTTCCTAGGTTCTCTCTCCGTAGGAGAGA